CACGAGGTCAAGAGATCGAGACCATCCCGGTCAACATGGTGAAACCCCGTCTCTACTAAAAATACAAAAATTAGCTGGGCATGGTGGCGCACGCCTGTAGTCCCAGCTACTCGGGAGGCTGAGGCAGGAGAATTGCTTGAACCCAGGAGACGGAGGTTGTGGTGAGCCGAGATCGCGCCATTGCTCTCCAGCCTGGCTAACAAGAGCGAAACTCCGTCTCAAAAAAAAAAAAAAAAAAAAAAGTAATCACATTTACAATGGCCACAAATACCTAGAAATTAACTTAATCAAAGAAGTGAAAGATATGTACAATAAAATCTATAAAACATTAATGCAAGAAACTGAAGAGGACACTCCAAAAAAATGGAAAAATATTCCACATGCAGAATTGGAAAAGTGACCATACAACCCAGAGTAATCTACAGATTAAATGTAATCCCTATCAAATACCAAGGACATTCTTCACAGAAATAGAAAATACAATCCTAAAATTTATATGGAACCACAAAAGACCCAGAATAGCTAAAGCTATCCTAAAAAAAATAAATAAAACTAGAGGTATCATACTACCAGACCTCAAACAATACTACAGAGCACTAGTAACCAAAACGGTATGGTAGTAGCATAAAACAGACACCAAATAGAGAATCAACAGAACAGAGGACCCAGAAATAAATCCACATATCTAGAGTGACCTCATTTTTGACAAAGGTGCCAAGAACATGCATTATGGAGAGTCTCCCCTATCTCTCACCGTACACAAAAATTGAATCAAAATGGATTAAAATCTTAAATCTAATACCTTAAACTATAAAACTACTACAAGAAAACACTGGGGAAACTGACCAGAACATTGGAGTGGACAAAGATTTCTTTAGCAATACACAACCACAGGCAACCAAAGCAAAAATGAACAAATGGGATTACATCATGTTAAAAAGCTTATGTGCAGCAAAGAAAACAATCAACAAAGTGAAGGATAATCCATAGAATGGGAGAACATATTTGCAAATTACACATTGGACAAGAAATTAATAACCAGAATACATAATAAACTCAAATGACTCTACAGCAAAAAAAAATCTAATAATCTGATTTGAAAATGGGCAAAAAGATCTAAATAAACATCTCTCTAAAGATGTACGCTGGGAGGCCAAGGTGAGCAAATCACTTGAGGTCAAGAGGGCAATACCAGCCTAGCCAACACGGTATCTCTATTAAAAATAACAAAATTAGGCAGGTGTGGTGGTGGGCACCTGTTACCAGCCACTTGGGAGGCTGAGGTGAAGAATCACTTGAGCCCAGGAGACAGTAGTTGCAGTGAGCCGAGGTCACACACCACTGCACTCCAGCCTGGGTAATAAGGTGAACTCCATCTCAAAAAAAAGAAATGTACAAATAGCAAACAGGTATACAAAAGGTGCTCAACATCACTAATGAACAGAAAAATGCAAGTCAAAACTACATTGAGATACCTCAACCCAGTAAAAATGGCTTTTATCCAAAGACAGACAATAACACATGCTGGCAAGGATGTACAGAAAAGGGAACTCTCGAACACTGTTGGAGGGAATGTAATTAGTACAAGCTCTACAGAGAACAGTTTGGAGGTTCCTCAAAAACTAAAAATAAAGCTACCATATGATTCAGGAATCCCATTCCTAAGTATATATCCAAAAGAAAAAAAATCAGTATATTGAAGATCTGAACTACTATATTTATTTTCTGTACTATTCACAATAGAATGGATAAATATACACAAATAAAATGAAATATTAATATTTAGCCACACAAAAAAAACGAGATTCAGTCATTTGCAACAACATGAATGGAACTGGAGGTCATTATATTAAGTGGTAAATAAGCCAAGCACAGAAAGACAAACTTCAGATGTTCTCACTCATTTGTGGGAGCTAAAAATGAAAACAATTAAACTCATGGACATACAGAGTAGAAAGAACGTTACCAGGGCTTGGAAAGGGAAATTGGGGTGTGGGGGAGAGGGGGGATAGTTAATGGGTATGAAAGAATGAGGAAGATCTAGTATTTGCTAGCACAACAGGGTGAATAGAGTTAAAAATAATTTAACTGTACATTTTAAAATAACTAAGAGTATAATCGGTTTGTAAAACAAAGGACAAAATGTAAATTTTGTAATTTTACATTTACCCTGATGTAATTTTTACACAGCTTGTCTATATCAAAGTATCTCATGTAACCCATAAAAAAACACACCTACTATGTACCCACAAAAATTTAAAAAAACATTTTTTAAAAAAAGGAATCCCACATTGATGTATTAGGAAAATATTTTTATCAAGAAAATATGAACTCTGCAACACTAGCCCTCTGACTAAATACAAGGCAGATTATCTATTCCTGGACAGTTTGATAAACTTGGATAAAGATGAAATAAATACGATTAAGAAATCCACCATATTTACATGATATTTATACACTATTGCCTATCTTAGATTATAAACCCTGGCATGCAATGGTAAAGTCTTTTCACTGTTCTTGCAAGTTTTCCTTTGATTATTCTTGCTAGGATTCAAATATACTATAAAGCACAATTTTTATCTGAATAAAAAAAGTCCTTAACTTTAAATAAATGCCAGAAAATAAAGATTTGCAAATATTACTAATATAAATATTAATTTATATCACATGTAGGTATAATAGAACACAATAAAAAAGAGAACTGTATTGTGGGTAGGGAGAAAATAGAAAACCAAGTCATCAGAAATTCAGGTCTTTTTTCCAACACAGAACAGAAGTACTCAACTGCGATCCGTAATGAGCTATAAACATCTCATTATAAACCAAACAAGCATGTCTCACGATGTCACCGGATGTGGTACTCCCTGAAGCACTTGGCATGGACACCCTTCTGGCACTTCTCGCACCGGGTATTGGTCTGTGAGTGGCAGAGGGCACATCGGGTCCTCTTGTCCTGGTGGATAATCCAATGCCCAATCATATCAAAGCGGCTCTCAGTCTCCAGCCGCCTGCTTCGCCTCCCTTGAGAGGTCGTGTCAGCATTGCTCTCCAGATACACACAGGCAATATATCTCCGGAAAGCAAGGAGGTCCACCTGGGCATCTTGGCAGCAGATCCTATGTAGCTGCCATGCATTGTTGAGGGCAGCATCAATGACATAGCCAATGAAGCTTGAGTACCACTTCATGCCTCGGATCTTCACCTTGTACTTGGCAATATTCTGGTCCATCCGACCAACACCCCCCACCTTCTCCTGATACAGCTTCACCAGTGATGGTTGGTGGACCTGAGTCCGCGTTTTAGCTGTTCCAGAGTGACGACTAGTCACCCTCACTGGCTCTATACCCACAGCATTGGAGCAAATGTTGACCACGCTGCTATCGTGCCAGCGGCACACGATGATCTCCTCACTCTCATCAACTTTGTAATCAAATGAACCCCTCTTCATTTTCTTCAGTTCTTTGGGGTCTTTTAGGGGACATCGCTCAGTCCTGTACTCACGAACAGTTCCTGTGGCCTTCACCCCCTTTTTCCTCAAAATGGACATCAGTTTAACACTTGTAAAAACCTTGTCAAAAAATATGTGATATGGCAGAAAACCACGCTCCTGAAGTGCATCCACAAATTTTACTACCATACTGCCTCCTAGATCCAAGCTCCTGTCTGGCTTGGTAAAAAGTGTGCCCTGTGAGGGCTCAAACCAAACCAAGTAGCCTCTGCTGGTTGTCCCACACCAAATCTTGTACCCAAGTCGCAAAGGCTTCCCTGTGTACAGCTGCTTGGACCCCCGATGCCCAAAGTACTCACACATAGACTCCCCAAAGCTGTAGAACTCTTCCAAGGGTGCATGCTTCTGGAAATTGCAGTTCATCCGGATGATGAGAGGTCTGACCTTGGCAAACCTATCATTTGCATCAAGTTCGTTGTTATCTGCAAAATGTAGGTATGAGAAGATTAGTTCAAATCTGTCCCTTCTAATTGCATCAGCTACAAGATGATGATGTGAATCAGGAGAGGTTTCCCAGAACATCCTTCTCCTTGGATAAGAGATGTACCCACTTAAAATCAAAATGCCCAAAACACACTTCAATTCCTGAGTTGTAAGACTCAGATTGACATTTTTCTGCCAAGCGTAACGATTGGTTTCATTAACAATGAAATTAATTGTTCCTTCATCAAAAAACAATTCAAAAAGGCCCACAGGACTCAGTTCTTGGCTTTTCAGATCCTCAATATGAGGATCTGATGCCATCCAACTGCCAAAGTCTGGACGAATATCTCTTTTGGTCCAAACGCGCTGAGGCTTCACAACTGCTTTCTGCCTCTTCTTGGCTGGCTGCAGCTCTAGGTCATCATTATCCTCCCCGGTGCCAGAGTCCTCACACAGGACTGAAGCATGCAGCACACTGCCAGGAAGGTGAGCACCTCGCTGGCTGTCTTCATCACCTGAGTCCTCATCAGTAAATTCCCCTGAAGCATTGTCAGGAGGCGCAATGAAAATCTCTTCCCTGTTGTTGCTGGACTCTTCCTCCTCCATAGCATTCAGAACCTCAAGTAGCTTTGCAGACTTCACCTTTGAGTGGGAACCTCTCCCAGTAATGACATCTCTGTAATGACAGGAAACAGAATCAGGAAGAGGCCATGCCAGAAAACCAATGCTTCAGCAGAAAAGAGGAGGATGCTCCCACTATAAAATATTTTCATCTGAATGGCTTCACAGATCTCACACAAGGAATAACAATTAGTAAGTAAATTTTCCAGATAAACACAGATTATGCTTTTAAGTGCAGAAGTATTTTAATGATGGGAGACAGACTAAAGAGGTGTTACCTAATTCCTTTCCTTCTTAAACAATGTGTTCTAAAACAAAGGATCCCCTTTAGTGATGAATCCAGATGCTGCTGTTATCACTCCAGATAACAGAAACTGCCAACAGGGAGCCCTGGTCAGCTGGAGTGACACCCACTGCTGTCCCCTCAGGCTCGGTGGCCTTAGGAGCTCAGCAATTACATTTGTCTTACTATACCTTCCCTCTCTTAATTGACAAACAGAAGTTTCCCTTATTCCCCAAATTCTCAAACTCCCCCTACTTGAACTCTCACTACCCAAATTCAAGAACTGAGCAGATTTGGATTTTCAGATAGCTCCCTTGCGGCTATCATACTGCATGCTAACTGCCATCAGAAGCCAAATCAACTTGGAAAACATGGAAACTCCTGCCACTCTCTTGCCCTGTGGACATAGGAATCAAATGGATGGTAAGTGATATAGGTGCTCCTCGACTTACAATCAGGATACATACCAATAAACTCATCATGAGTTAAAAATGACTTAAGTAAAAAATGCCTTAAGTAAAAAATGCATTTAATACACCTAACCTAGCAAACATCATAGCTTACCCTAGCCTATCGTAAACGTGTTCAGATCACTTACATTAGCCTATAGTTGGGAAAAGTCATCAAACACAAAGCCTATAATTTAATAAAGTATTAAATAGCTGATATGATTTATTGAATACGGTACTAAAAGTTAAAAATAGAGTGGCTGTATGGGTATTGAAAGTACGGTTTCTACAGAATGTATATGGCTTTTACACCATCCTAAGTTGAACCATGTTAAGTGGGAGACTCTCTGTACTTGCATTTGAGCACAGTGAACAGGTGCTGCCCAGGGGCTGGTGATGGGCAAACTCCACGCCCAACCTGCATAGCATTTTAGTTCTAATTGAGGGAGTCAGACAACAAATCAACAAACAAATAGCTACAATGGTGTCAGGTAGCAATGAATGCCATCCCAGATAAGGGACAGAATGCAACAAAGTGGTAGAGCTAGGGGTGCTATTTTGGACGGAATGGTGACAGAAGGCTCACAGGGTGGCGGGCCTGAAAGAGGTGAGAGATTGAACCCTGCAGACAGCTGGAGACAAGATGTCCCAGGCAGAGAGAAAGAACCACAGGCACACGGCCCTGACACTGAAGGGACTTGACATCTGCAGAAGAGCAAGGAGGTCAATGAGGCTGAAGGTGCAATGAGGACAGGAGATCAGAGCAGAGCAGAGCCAGAGAGAACCAGGCCCCACAGGACTCCGCAGGCCCTGGCCAGGACTTCCATTGTTCAGCTGCCACAGGTAGCCCCAGAGTGATGGAACAGGGCAGTAAGGAGTCGTATCTAGGCTGTCAATACATCACCCTGACTGTGAGAATGGACTTAGCAGCGAGGGTAGGCACAGAGGTGCTTGCTGCTGCTCTGTGCCCCTTTGAAGGCCCCAACCTCTACATGAGGACCTTCCATCCCAAAGGAAAGATCCAAGATTTACCACAGAAGACTGACTGCCAGCTGCAATGCTGACTTCTGGGGAGGTGAGGTATTCACTCATTCAAGCTCTGCATGGGCCAGGACAAGAGGCCAGTTTGAAGGGAAAGGAAATTCAAAGCCCATCCCATGGGCCCTGGAGTAAAGTTCTCAGGGGCAGCAGCCATCTTCACACTTTCTCTGACCTAGCCTCGCCCAGTTCCCAGGGGCAGGTCCCGGGCTGCAAGGCCAGGGTCTCTACCAATTTGACTGCCCAAGCTCCTCCTCACCCCCCGACCCTCAAATAACTTGTGCACATGATTGTTCAAACCCCAGGCATAAGAAAGCCTGCAGGGACTGAGGTGGCCCCAGGGATAACCATCTGGTGTCTTTATCTTGAAAAATGAGGAAACTGAAGTCACGTTTTTCTGTGGAGCGTAAACATTACTGCTACATGACCACACCCATACACACAACCATCTGCCTTTTCCCATTTTTCCCATTATTCTCCCATCTCCTCTCCCTTCTTTCTTTAAACTTCCTGGCCTTTCAAAAACACAGGGGAATAAATTCTTTGATAAAACATTTGATCAAACAGCACTCCTACCTGGATGCTGAAGCCATGAAGAACTGGGAAGACGAAGCTGCCTTTACTCACAGAGTCTAAGAATCTGTAAGACAAACAAAGTCAATTTAAAAAAGTTATATCTTAACAAGCAAGGCAATAGCATCTTCTCTACCATTTAAGTGAAAAATATCTCTGCCTTAAGATTCATTACCTTAATAGTGTCTGGGTCGACTGGTTCTTCAGAGGGAAAAAAGCAAGCTCCCTCATCTCACAACTCACACCAAAATACATTCTAAAATAGGAGTCCTCATTGTCAAAACTAATGACATTTGGGGCTAGATGAGTCCGCTTGTGGGGTGGCAGGAGGCTTTCCACTGCATTTCAGGATATTTAATGGCATCCCTGGCTTCTACCAGTAGATGCCAGTAGAACACCCTACTGCACTGTCCATAACAGCAACGCATCAGAAAAACATAAAGGACTACCAACTGGGAAATGAATATAACTATATTATATGGAAGTTTAAAAAAATGAACTACCTAGACAGCATACAGATCTTGAAAACAACACTTAATGAAACAAAGCTGCAGAGAGAAAGTGTAGAGTTTATATAACTATAAATACCTACAAGCAATTATCTGTGTTGTTGATAGATACTATGTGCAGTGCTGGAGTATAAAACCGGAACTGGAAGGCTACACGCCAGCTCTTCACAGAAGTGGTAACCACAGGGGAAGGAGGGAAACTGGAGTGGGAAAGTGGGAGATGAGATGGGGTGGCGGGTGGGAGTGGAAGGCCAACCAGATCTGTTAGTTTTTTTTAAAGAAATCTGAGTGCTCACTTTGGCAGCACATACACTAAAATTGGACCAATACTGAGATTAGCACGGCCTGTCCACAAGGATTACATGCAAATTCATAAGTATTCCATATTTTTAAAAATCTGCATCAATTACGGCAAATTGCTAAACATTTTTACTGATGGCAATGCATTTAATTCCCTTCACAACTTCTTGAGGTTTGTAGTAACCTTCATTTAACCACTGAGGAAGCTAAGGTATGGAAAGAAGTGATTTGCTCAGCAATGCAGAACAAAATCACAACAGATTTAGAAGGTGTTAGTCTCCAAGGGCATCTACTTAGTTTTCCAGGAGATTACACAGTCACACTTTAGTAATTTTAATTCATGGAAAACCAGTCACCTTGACCCTGTCAATAAGCTGACAAAATGCAGTAATGCTGAGGGGAAATGCAAACAGAGGCCAGGAGGCATCCCCGTTTATCCACAGAGCTCACAGAAATTAATTATAGGAGTAGGGGGATTTGCACAAGCACACAATGATAATGGGAGTTTCCACAAGGATTCAGGCGATGAAAATATCTCAGCACCACAGAGACTCCATGCCAATATTTTCAAAATGGTGATGACTGCTGGCAAACCACCTGGCCAGTTAATTTCTCATTTTAAGATATGAAACTTCCTATGCATTTTGATTTGTCTGGACAACTCACTACGGGCCACTTTTACAACAGCAATAACAGACCAACAACGCTTCTCTGCACATCTCCAATAGCTCTCCCACCTGGGGTCATATCTATGTCTCCCTGTTACACCCAGAACAGCAGCAGTTAGTGGAAGGAGGAAGAAGGGCACTCAGAAGGTGCTTTAAAATTTGTTGGGGGAGAAGGTTGGTTGTCACAATGGGAGAAGGAGTGAAAAGGGTTACAGCAGTCCCACAATGTGTGGGTCAGTCCCACAAACGACACCTGTCTCATACCCTCACGACTTCCATCTGTCCTGCCAAAACCTACGTGCAATGATTTAACTTGGGCTTAGAACCAAACTCAGATTTATATAAATATAAAACATCTTTTGCACAATTTTAATATAGTATAGTAAACACACTAATAGTAGAGAAAATGAAAATCTTTTTATCAGAACTTTACCAACACTTGTTCACCATTTTGAAAAATTGTATCACCACTAGTATCGGTGTTTGTGATACAAGTCATCATCAATGCAACACACTCAGGTCTTTTTATATCTCTAGCTATAGCATTCATGGTATCTTGACATACGCATATGTAACCCTTCTATAAAAATGCCAAGTACAAAAAACAAGTATAAATACTATTCAAGCAAATGTGGCCTTACTTGCCTAAAATTCATTTTAATTCCTGTGTCACCCCCTACCAAATGAAGCTCCACCTGGCCCTGAAGTCAGCTCAGTCACACCGTTTCTGACCAATTCCCGACAACCGAGCCAAGGCCGCCTCTGTCAGCTACTCAAAGCACGCTCTTCATAGGCCAGTGTCCTTCCGTGCCGTTTGTGAGACCATTGCATGAATACTATCTGTTCTAGACTGGGTCTGATCTTCACTGTATACCCAAAGCACACTCACAGGGAGGCTGAGTCTGATCACAACTGTATATTCAACACTTACATAGTAGCTGGATCTGATCTCCATTATATATACACACAGTGCTTGCTTACAGAGTCCAGTGAACACAAGACCTGGGCAACTGCCCTCAGGAGAGGCCTTGAGAAGTGATTTTGTTTTTTTCTATGAGAATCCAAAGGCCTTTCTTGAAGCCTAAAATAAAACCCTCAGCATCATCTTCCTAATCTTCCCAGCATCATCTTCCTAATCTTCCCCAGTTCTGCTTCCTAATCGTCTCCAATATATTAGACATACCAGGGGATCTGTCTCCTCTGTCATCCCCTAGCTGAACCTGTTCCAGGCAGGTATCACCAAAGGGCCAAGTGCCCCTATCCTTAAGACTCAACTACAGAGTCCAGGGCCTTGAGTGCAAAAATACTCAGTAAAGTAGCTCCTCAAGTCCATTTCCTCCCATAACAGGGACAGAGCAGGGTAACACTAATGCCTCTAGTCTTTTCTCCTCCATCCACCAGGAGGAGGTGAATGGATGCTCAGTGACCTGCTCTCAGGGGCAAACCAACAGCTCCCAAATCACAAGGCACATAAACAGTGATAAAGTCAAAATGCTGTGTGGCCAAGAAAAAGAGTATTAGGAGTTGTTTAGTACCCTACACACACACCATGGCCCAAATGACCCCATCACCAACTGGTTGTCCTGGTAATCTTAAAATACAACTTCAATGTTGTGTGGCCAGAGCCCTCACCAAACGACTAATTCACAGACTCCCCATGCTCTCTCAGGCAGGCTTTAAGCCCAACCTCCCCAATGAACTTCTATCCTGCCAGCCTGCCAGGAAGTTCACTGAATCGTCTACCTATGAACCCATAAAAACAAACCACACTCAGCAAATTCTGATTCCATCTGCCCCTTTGCAGCCAATTCTAAGAGTTGCACATGCATACATACAATCAATCTTGCTCGAACACTCCTCCTATACCCCCTTAGCCCTCCAGAAAGGATGACAAATATTTTTCCCTCCTGATGTTATTCTACCTTCCTCTCCCCAACTACCCAATTTCTAGTCTCTGTAGGTTCACTCTCAAGCTTTTGTGGTCAAGCAGTAACAGTGGCTGGCATGTCCTGTGAAATCAATCCTGGTTGGGTTCTGTAGACACAGAAGATAAGAGAACATGTAGCTCCTGCAATCAGTGACCTCCACTCCTTTGGGACACTCACTCCTGCCTCAAGGTGGCTCTCAGGAGTAAGGGGAAGTAGAAAAGACACCCATCAAATGAGATGCCTAAATTCCATTTCCAGCAGTATGGCAGACCACAGATGCCAAAAAACTCTCCTGATGAAAACTTAAAGAGCTGGATAAAATTTAAAATGCTGGCCGGGCGTGGTGGCTCAAGCCTGTAATCCCAGCACTTTGGGAGGCCGAGGTGGGTGGATCACGGGGTCAAGAGATCGAGACCATTCTGGTCAACAAGGTGAAACCCCGTCTCTACCAAAAATACAAAAAATTAGCTGGGCATGGTGGTGCGTGCCTGTAATCCCAGCTACTCAGGAGGCTGAGGCAGGAGAATTGCCTGAACCCAGGAGGCAGAGGTTGCGGTGAGCCGAGATCGCGCCACTGCACTCCAGCCTGGGTAACATGAGTGAAACTCTGTCTCAAAAAAAAAAAAAAAAAAAAAAAAAAATTTAAAATGCTGCACTGACCTGATAAGAAAACATGGAATCTAACTGGGTCAAAAAGCAAAATCAATCAGGGAGCCCTAAGGAGCAAGGGAGTCTTCAGCTAGCTTTCACTCTGAGGAGTTCTCATGAATTGTGGTGACATTAAGCCCCCTATTCTGAACTACATGGAGTATAAAAACTAGAGGAAACTAAAGTCAGGCTAGTACAAAGGGCTAGGAAAATAGGCCTGCACAAAGGGCCTACTCAAGGGCTACACCCAAAGGTAAGGATGAATAAAAGATAACCCAACTCTGAAGAAGAGGCCAGAAAATAAACATGCCTGAATTAATCACACCACTGGATAAAAGTCAGGAAGGGAGTGTCTCCTAAGAATTTGTAACTATGAAGGTTTATGAGGCCAATTGATACTGCCTAATGGGCTCAATAACCACAAATAAAAATTTTAACCCAAAGTGCTCTTCATTAACAGTGTTGCCCCAGGAATAGTGAAAACAGATAAAACCTCTCTGGAGGAATACATCCCCAACAAAAACATTGAAGAGCTCCACTGATAACAGTTCCAAAGATGAATTCACATTCTGGGGAAAAAAAAAAAAAAAAGTCATAAACAAGGAAATAAAGTGCCATGAATAGGAGTCAACAGAAACAATGAGCAGCATAATCAGACCCACGGACTATAGATGTCATAATTATCATAAATCGAATACAAAATATATATGTTTAATATGTTGTAAGAAACAAATGAACAAGAAACATATAATCTCAAATGAAAAAAAGGTCAAGCACACTTAAAAAGAACCAAATATAACAAATAGGAATAAAAACTAAATTACCTAAGAAAAATATTAAAAGTCTTACTCCTAAGGGAAATACTAATCAAAACCATGAGATATCACATTACGCCCATTAAAGTGGCCACTATGAAAATGATAAGTTATCAGCAAGAATGTAAAAAATTGGAACCCTTGTACACCATTTATAGGCTGATAATAATGCACCCACTATGGAAAAAGTTTGGTAATTGCTATGTTTTTGAGGGTTTTTTTTTTTAACATTTTTTTCTTTTTCTTTCTTTTTTTTTTTTATTGCATTTTAGGTTTTGGGGTACATGTGAAGAACATGCAAGATTGTTGCATAGGTATACACGTGGCAGTGTGATTTGCTGCCTTCCTCCTTCTCACCTATATCTGGCATTTCTCCCCATGCCATCCCCTCCCCCAACTCCCCACCCCTCATTGTCTGTCCCCTATTTCCCCCCAACAGACCCCAGTGTGTAGTGCTCCCCTCCCTGTGTCCATGTGTTCTCGTTGTTCAATACCCGCCTATGAGTGAGAACACGCGGTGTTTGATTTTCTGCTCCTGTGTCAGTTTGCTGAGAATGATGGCTTCCAGGTTCATCCATGTCCCTACAAAGGACACAAACTCATCGTTTTTGATGGCTGCATAATATTCCATGGTGTATATGTGCCACATTTTCCCTGTCCAGTCTATCATCAATGGGCGTTTGGGTTTGTTCCAGGTCTTTGCTATTGTAAACTGTGCTGCAATGAACATTCGTGTGCATGTCATTTTTTTCTTTTTCTTAAGACAGGGTCTCACTCTGTTGACCAGCCTGGAATGCAGTGGCACAACTGATATAAGATTTAAAGAGAAAATATTAGGCCGGGCGCGGTGGCTCAAGCCTGTAATCCCAGCACTTTGGGAGGCCGAGGCGGGTGGATCACGAGGTCAAGAGATCGAGACCATCCTGGTCAACATGGTGAAACCCCGTCTCTACTAAAAATACAAAAAATTAGCTGGGCATGGTGGCACGTGCCTGTAATCCCAGCGACTCAGGAGGCTGGGGCAGGAGAATTGCCTGAACCCGGGAGGCGGAGGTTGCGGTGAGCCGAGATCGCGCCATTGCACTCCAGCCTGGGTAACAAGAGCGAAACTCCGTCTCAAAAAAAAAAAAAAGAGAAAATATTTAGGCAGTTAGCGAGGGTACAGGTGTACTCAGTAAAGTTTTTCTTTTAATAAAAAGCAACCCTGAAATCCTTTATTTTCTAACAAAAAGCAGCCTGAAAAAAATCAATCTGCAAGCATAGATAAGCAAGCTATAAGCTTGCATAGGTGAATGTCAGCAGGTGTGCCAGAAGGCAAGTACATCAAACATGGAGGTCTTCTTCTTCCTCCTCTTTGTTGCCATGGGTGTGGGTGTCATGGAACCCGCCAGGTAGAGACCCCATCTGCATGATAAAAGATTAGGGTGAGATGGCCAGCCTCTTTGCAGGCTAAGTGGCACACCTGGTCCAACCAATCCACTAGGTCCTATGTAAATTAGTCACCACCTCCTGAAGCCCCTCTATAAAATCAAATGCATCCCACTGTGAACAGGGAGATCCATTTGGAAACCCCTCCCTATACACAGGGGAGCTTTCTTCTTGTTTCTCTCGCCTATTAAACTTTCCACTCTTAAACGCACACGTTGCGTGTCCACGTCTTCACTTTCCTTAGTGTGAGACAATGAACCTCAGCGATCCTACTTCACAATCATGGCTCACTGCAGCCTCAACTCTCCAGGTTCAGGTAATCCTCCCACCTCAGCTGCCTAAGTAGCTGGGACTACAGGTACAGGTCACCATGTCCAGCTAATTTTTCTATTTTTTATAGAAATGGGGCTTCTCCATGTTGCCCAGGCTGGTCTCAAACACTTGGGCTCAAGTAATCTGCCTGGCTCCAACTGATTTTTGTGTATTTATTTTGTATCCTGCAACTGTGCTGCATTCAGCAAACACAATTTGCTGTAATTCTGCTGCAAATACAAATTGCTGCAATTCTGCTGTTTTGCAGAATCTTTAGCGTTTCCTACATATGAGATCATGTCATCTGCAAACAGAGATAGGTGTACTTACTGCTTTTGAATTTGAATGGCTTTTACTTATTTTTCTCAGTAACTGCTCTAGCTAAGACTTCCAATACTACATTGAAAAAAAGATCTGAAAGCAGAAACTCAGAAATGTATGTGTGTGGTGCATTTTTTCTTCTTTCTTTCTTTTTTTTTTTTTTTTTTTTTTTTGAGACAGAGTCTTACTCTGTCGCCTAGGGTGGAATGCAGTGGCATGATCTCAGCTCACCGCAACCTCCACTTCTCGGGTTCAAGCCATCCTCCTGCCTCAGCCTCCCAAGTAGCTGGGACTACAGGCGCTCACCACCATGCTCGGCTAATTTTTTGTATTTTTATAGAGACGGGTTTCACCATGTTGGCCAGGATGGTCTTGATCTCCTAACCTGTAATCTGCCCGCCTCAGCCTCCCAAAATACTGGGATTACAGGCATGAGCCACTGTTCTTGGCCTATAGTGCATTTTCAAAGCAGCACTATTCACAATAGCCAAGAGATAGAAGCAACTCCAAGTGTCAACTGATGAATGAATGGAATCGATAGATGCAATGGGATATTATTCAGCCTTAAGGTGAAGGAAATCTTGTCATAAGCTACAACAAAAATAAACCTTGAGGATATTATACTAAATAAAATAAGCCAATTACAAAAAGAGAAACACTGTTTGATCCCACTTACATGAGGTAATTAAAGTAGTCAAACTGAGAGAAACAAAGTAGAATGCGGATTAACAGAAGCTGTGGAGGAGAAATGGGGTGTCAGTGTTTTAATGCGTATACTTTTTATTTTGCAAGATAAAAAAGCTCTGGAGATTGGCTACACAACAATGTGAGTATCCTTAGTACTACTGAACTGTATACTTAAATGGTTAAAATGGTAAATTGTATGTTTTTTATGATTAAAAATATAAAAATAAAGTAAAATAAAATAAAATAAAAAAATCAGAGAAAGAGGATCACTTTACAGTGAGAAAAGATTTGCCTAACCAGGAAAATATAGTAATTTTAAATTGTGTATATCTAATCAGTTCAAAACATATAGAGTAAAAAAGGACTATCCAGAATCTACAATAAACTGAAACATATTAGCAAGAAAAAAACAATCCCATCAAAAAGTGGGCTAAGGACAATTCTCAAAAGAATACAAACAAATGGCCAACAAACATATGAAAAACATGCTCAATGTCACTAATTATCAGGGAAATGCAAATCAAAAGCACAATGCAATACCATCTTACTCTCACAAGAATGGCCATAATCAAAAAAATCAGAAAATTACAGATGTTGGCATGCAGGCAGTGAAAGGGGAACACTTCTACACTGCTGGTGGGGATGTAAACTAGTATAACCACCATGGAATACAGTGTGGAGATTCCTTAGAGAACTAAAAGGAGAACTACCATTTGATCCGGCAATCCGTATCTACACAGAGGAAAAGAAGTCATTATATGAGAAAATACACTTGCACAAGCATGTTTGTAGCAGCACAATTCAAAAATATGGAACCAGCCCAAATGCCCATCAATCAATGAGTGGATAAAGAAACTGTGGTATAAACATACGATGGAATACTAGTCCACCATAAAAATGAATGAATTAGTGGCACAGCGGTCTGGATGTGACTGAAGACCATTATTCTAAGTGAAGTAACTCAGGAATGGAAAACCAAACATCATATGTTCTCGCTCATAAGTGAGAGCTAAGCTATGAGGACGCAAAGGTATAAGAATGGTACAATGGACTTTGGGGACTCCAGGGGAAAGGATGGGAAAGGTGTGAGAAATAAAAGCCTACAAATTGGGTTCAGTATATACTGCTTGGGTGATGGGTGCACCAAAATCTCACAAATAACTAAAGAACTTACTCATGTAACCAAATACTACCTGTTCCCCAAAAACTTATGGAAATAAAAGTTTTGATAAAGTTCAATTTGTGGGTAAACCCTCATATAGGCACCGAGGAATGAGAGCTAAGCAGAACCCTGGCACAGTTAGGGCTTGAGGACTATCTCACTTTATAGTGTTACTACTCAGCAATTTCCTTTTATATAATCCTTTATACAATTATATGTTTGTTTATAGGATTAGGGCTTGAAGAATTCTTTTATATAATCCTCTATATATAATCATATAATAGTTGATAGTATGAGTGCCTAAAGAATATTTCCCTACATATAATTATTCTTAGTTCATAATCGGAGGAATGCCTAGAGTGGACACAGTGCAGAGCATGATTTAAGGGAAAACAGTTATACCAGGACAAGAATCCATGGCCCAGGCAGCAGCATTCAGTATCGTAAAGATACCCGCTGTATGGAAGGCTTGGGGCAAGAGCCGCTCCTCCTGATAAAGGAGTTGTAGGACCTTGCTCCATTTCCTGTGGAAGGCTGCCCTCAGACTGGCAATCCACCTTGGTGACTGTGAACTTTATCAGTTCTTCCTACTACGCTGCTCGAAAAGCATCTTCCCATAGAACTCACTGGAAAATGCCAGAAGGTGGGGGTAACCTTGACAGCTCTGTCACTGCTATGTGACTTAAAGCATCCTCCTATAAATCTTCTTAGAAGTAGTTTGCCCATAGATAGAAGTATTGCACACTGCACTCTCTTCACTGCGCACGGCCCACCTTCAAGCCTCGGTGACCTAACGCGGGTGGACCCCTTACTGCACATAGCCCTTGCCTTCATGGGAGAGGGCCCCTTGCTGCACACTGTCCACCTCCTGGCCTAGATGACCTAATGGGGGTGAACTCCTTGTTTTATTGCTCACGACCCTATCACTATCATAAAGATGATTTCACTCACTGCCCTGCGCCCTAACCTATACACAATAAATACTCATGCTTCTGGACATTCGGGGCCTCGCCTGACTCCACTTATAGGTGGTGTGGTCCCCTGAGCCCAGCTGTGTTTTCCTTGCATTTCTGTGTCCTGTCTCTTTATTTCTCGGATCCTGCGCATCAGCACAGCATAGGGCACACCCCATGACCCTGTGGGCCATCAGCCCTACACAATTTCCTAAGCTGAGTAGGATACTCAGAGTTGTTCATTATGCTTTAAACTGTTCCTGTGCATTTGATATATTTTGGCACGTATATCTCACACACTCATACAAACACACACAGGCACAGGGACACTTGTAAAGAAACACCTGAACAAATACTCTCCAGCTGAGCCAGTCAGCATCTGAAGGAAATGCTGCTCTGTAGCGACGGGGGAGTCAAGCAAAAGACGTTCATCTGTGATGTTCCAGAACACACACATTTTGCACAGCTTGAAGAAGAAAGGTAGGTCATCTCCCCATGTAACAGTCTGTGTCCCTTATAAATAATCTCTTTATAAAATCCTTATAAAATTGTTTATCTGAATTTCTTCAAAGTCCAACCAGACTGTATCCCATCTTCTCCATACACAGGGCCTCTGACCACCTCTGGTCCACGTGACATCACACTTAACTTCCCTATGGCTTGTGTGAAAAGCTCATCACCTGATTAGATCATAAGCTCCAGTAATCATGGACATGAGTCCCCATGGGCCTTCGGTAAATCCAAGTGTGTGATTGTAATGTCTATGGGGCTCCAGCTTCCCTTCTGTTCTCACCTTCTTGGCACTAATGCAGGCTTGCTGCAGGCAGATGCCAGGTGTGTGAAGTGCAGAAGAAAGACATCAGTCCCTCAATCTCTCCCAACCCCCTTTCACAAGTCTGTAGCCCAGGAAAAATATGTAATACGGAGCCACCAGCGACGAGCTGTGTGATTCTGGAAAGTCACTTACCAAAGAGACTTCCCGGTGCCCCATCTTCAACCTGTAAAATGGGATCATCATATGGTACCTGCCCTCATTGCACTGTGAAAACAGTAAGAGTCAATGTGTGTAAAGCAGACACACTAGGCCAGGCTTCCCAAGTGTTAACTGTAATTTCAGGTCCACAACCCCCTCACCTGCAATTCCAAAAGCCAAATATGCTTTAAAAACTGAACTTTCTTTCGAAACTTTGCAACAAACTTCGGCAGCCAAACTTGGACTGATCTGAGGCTCTTCATAATGTCTAATTTTGTTACTATAAATATCTATACATTTTGCTGCAGAAATTCTGTTTGATTAAAGGGTGTGTCCATATGACTGAAAAAACTCAAACATTCCGACTTCTTCCCCAGGTCCAGCCAGGTTTGGGTCAAGAAGCCTGACTTGTGTTACCATTTCACAGTTGCTTCATCTCTCAGCAGTTTACCACCTTTTCCTCCACTGTGCTTTAGGCTGGCCCCATCCACTTACTAACATCCAGACTGACAGCTTCCAACCATTTGGAGGCTTATGCTCATCCTCAGAGCCTACCAAGAACTTGCCCTGGGTCACAATCCAACCAAGCGCTGATATAAAATCAAAGTCATTCACAGCCTGGTCCCCAGCCTTAACCCCACACACTCCCAACTAGGCTCAGACCACTCCTGAGGGCTGGTCCAGCCTCTTCTTGTATCCTATCTCACTCAGGTTCCCTAATCTGGCCTGACAGCTTTATTTTCTTCTTGTGTGCTGTGCCTTTTGCCTGGGGTGCTATTCTCTGCCTATGGGATCCCCTGCAATGTCCTTCTCCATCCATCAAGCTTCCAATCAAGTCTTCCTCTTATCACAGCTTTCACCACAATAGACTAAAATAAGTAATCCACCTTCAAGTTGACCCCACCTCTGTATCTCCAGAAGGCAACGTGGCATCCGGCATGCAGTAGGCCCTCAATAAATACTTGCTGAACCAAACTAATCATGCCACAGAGCCAGATGGCCACACTCCAGGGCACGCCATCCATCTCAATCTGCAGCAGACTTTCATTTTCATCTTTACTATTTGGCTTTGAGAAAACTATTTAGAAACGAACCAGAAACTCTTGATATATGATTGACCCTAAAATATACTCCTGAGAGTCTCTGAAACCACGCATAGGAATATCTGTCAGTGAAGAGTCTAATACAGTCTAATACAGTGAACTCAACCAAGTCAGAGGGGGATACATAGGTAAGAAGCTCAGCAGAAACCCATCCTACCTTTCAAAGTCTGCAAACCGTGCTCCCCAGGCCTTCCATCCCCTCACATGTGGCTCCTCCATTTTTCTTGCCCTGCCTGAGACAGCCAACAGAGGAACAGGACATGGGTAGACAGTGCCCCTGCATACCACGCGAACTCCCAAAGGGAATGTCTGGATAAAGGCAGTTGGGCGGCCATACTATCACTTTTTCATTCGTTTGGCAAATATGTGAATTATCTACTGTGTGTCAGGTATATATGCATAAAATTGCAATTATGGCAGAGCTAAGAAGGAAAGAGTTGATTAGAATCCATAAAATGGAACCTGACCTAGTCAGGGAGGCCAGAGACTATCTCCCTGAGGAAAGGATAACCTAATGGAGAAATTCAGGAAGAGTAACAATTCCCTCAGCAAGTAGGGAACAGCACCCCATGTAAAAGGCACAGTACATGAGAAGAACGCAAAGCAGTCAGACCAGAGTAGGGAAACTGCAGGAGACAGGGTACAAGAGGCTGAACCAGCTCGGCAGAGCCTTGAAGGCCCTGTTAAGGATAAGACCAATGGGAAGTTTAAAAAAAAAAAAAAAATTACAGGCAGAGCATAACACAATGAAGGCTGCATTTTAACAAGCTTATTCTGGCTGCAGTACGGACAACTGAGAGGGCAGGACCCAAAGCAGATGCAGGGAGACAGACAAAAAGTCTAGGGCAGCCGGGCGCGGTGGCTCACGCCTGTAATCCCAGCACTTTGGGAGGCCGAGGCGGGTGGATCACGAGGTCAAGAGATTGAGACCATCCTGGTCAACATGGTGAAACCCCGTCTCTACTAAAAAAAAAAAAAAAAAAAAAAAAAAAAACAAAAAATTAGCTGGGCATGGTGGCGCGTGCCTGTAATCCCAGCTATTCAGGAGGCTGAGGCAGGAGAATTGCCGGAACCCAGGAGGCGCAGGTTGCGGTGAGCCGAGATCGCGCCATTGCACTCCAGCCTGGGTAACAACAGCGAAACGCAGTCTCAAAAAAAAAAAAAAAAAAAAAAAAAAATTCTACAGCAAAAGGGTGGGGCCTATGGAGAGAAACGGACACACCTGAGGAGGATTTAAAACGTGAAACTGTCAAGTCTGGATAATCGGTTGGGGCGTGGGCAGGAGAGAAAGCCTATTAAGGAGGCCTCCCAGATTTCAAGCCCCTTTTGATTGGAGCACAGAGGTGCCATTGACCAAGACTAGCAGCACTGGGAGGAGGAACAGAGGGTGGTCACAAGCTGCCCAGAGGTCCAACTGGACGTCCTCAACTGAACTGGTCCAGGCACTCAGCAAAGAAAAAGCACCTTGGTGTGAAACCCGGAGCTCCCCAGGCCACTCTAAAGGGTCCTGGGGTTGGGGGGCGGGAGGGAGAGACAGCTGATGTTTAAAACGTAAATTTCTCCAAGGAAAGACAGGACAACTAAATGCTGTCTTGGAGCCTAAATTACAAAAAGGAAACAGGTGAGAGTAGAGAAATCTGAATGAAGACTGTAGGTGTTAACTGTAAAATAAGATGTTAACCCCCGAGGAAATGTGGGCGGACCGTACATGGAAATTTTTGCTTGTTTTGTAACATTCTGAAATTATTTCAAGATAAAAATTCTTTCTCAAAAGACATTTTATAGATGCAACACCCCAAAGTTGAGCCAGGTGCACAACAGCTCAGGAAGCTTTTGTGAGATACGGAGGCTCCCTCCCTTTTCTCATCTCAAAAGCGAAAGAGAAAAGAAAACGAAGACCCTCAGAAACCTCAGCGGCTTCCCAGGCGGACGTTCAGAACGGCCCGCCCCCCGCGCCTCCAGGCGCGGAGCCGACCCTCCCCGGGGCGTGATGCTGCCCCCGCAGCCCGCGCAGCCAGCGCGCCTCAGGCCGCCCGCCCAGCCTGCCGGAGCCCGGCCTGGTCCCTCCCACCACGCCCTTAATCCAGCCCTCTTCAGCCCGACCCCGCCCTGGTCCCACCCACCCCGCTCCGCCTCCGGCTCAGCCAGCTCGGCCTCCGTTCCGGCACCCCCACAGGCAGCGGGAGCGCCCCCTTGCGGCCCTCTGAACTCGGCGCCCGGAAGCCCATTGTTCCACAGTCTGCGCACAGCATTGAGGACTAGGTCCTCTGACGTCGTAGAGAAAACGCAACATCAGGCCAACCGCTCCCCTACTCAAGCGGAGCCCTGCCTGTGGTGCAAGCACAGTGATGCCTACCTGCGCTGGCCCAGACGGAGTGTCGCGATCCTGAGCCGGACGGTGAACCCCGCCGAACAGGAGCGCGGCGCCAGCGTTGGCGTCGGGCGTCACGGCCGCGCAACGTCCGGCACGGGAGTGCTCGCCTCACCTCGGCCCGCCTTCCGCGCCACGCCCCCGGACCAGGCCACGCCCCGGCCCGTGCAACCATCGAGACTCCGGGACCTCCGCGACGCCTAGAGGGACCCCGGAAATGCCTGCCTGGCCGGAACGGCAGAAATAACTCCGCCCACCCCAGTGGACCAGGTCTCCCTGCCCCTCTTGCTTATCCTCCCACCCCTGTCCTCCTTTGAAACTTTTCTGGTTCCTAATCAGGACGGCATGGGGACTTTCTCTCTCTAGGGTAGTGATTCTCAAATGTGGCCCCAATCTAACCTGGGGAAATTGATGGAAATGCAAATCTTGGGACCCCACTCCAGGCCTACGGTATTAGAAACTCTGAGGGTGTGCCCAGTAAACCAACCCTGAAGGTAATTGTGATACAAACTAGGGCTTGAAAACCACTGCTGTGTGGCAGGGTTTCTCAACCTCCACTCTTGACATTTTGGGCCTGGATAATTGTTGAGAGGGAAGGAGGCTGTCCTGTGCATTATAGGAGGCAGGGTCACTATAAAATACAGTTAAATTTGAATTTCAGGTAACGGTGTTCATCTAAGATTCACAATTAACTGGAAATGCCTGTATTTCATGTGGCTATCTTACCTACCTATATTTTTACTTGGTAAAAGTAGAACCTTAACTGTAGGATAGTGAGCATCCCTAGCAACTATATGCCAGTAGCACGCCACACTCTCCACTCTCTAGTTATGACAAATGTCTCCCCCTACCCCTTGAAAATCACGGCTCTGTAAGGACTTTGTCCAGCTGAAACCTAGCATCCCATTAGGTATATAGGACAGTGTACTCCACAGAAAACTGCCTTGCCCTGAAAGGCTTTGAACACAGAAATACCTGGGACCAAACCCTGTTAACATTCAAAAAGAGGGCCACTTAGTGAAGAGTTTGTATTTGCTTCTACACCCTGACACTTCACAAAGGTTTTCTGGTCACTGTAAAGTGTGGTCCAGAACACCTAGATCAGAAGAAAACAAAAAATAAATCATACTCATTTGTGAGATTCTGGAGCTAAGGGCACAACTAGTTTGTCATCATTCATTCCACATATAAGCAAATTGAGGAGACAGATGATGAGCCCTGGGAAAGTGGGAGTGCTACTCTAGGTAATGGAGGACAGTGTTTCTAACTTGCTTTGTTCCCCAGATCCTGTGTCTCATTCATTCATTCATTCATTCATTCAACAACAGGTGTTAAACGAGCGTCCTCTCTGTGACAGTCACTCCTCTGGGCAGTGCTGTTAGAAGAGTAAAAAAAAAAAAAAAAAAAAGAGGCAGAAGAGAAAAACCCTCTTGTCATGATGCTTACCTTTCAGTGAGAGAACCAGGCAATAAACAAACAAAATATATGGTATGTCAAAGTGGAAAGTGCTAGGAAGAAAATAAAGCAAGGGAAATGGACGAATAAGACTGTTGCGAATTTGGTTTTAAATCATTTGGTCAGGGAAGGTTGGTCAGTGAGAAGGTTGTATCTGAGGGAAAAGCCAAAAAATATGAAAAGCAAATTCCCCATGCCAAATTCAAGGGGAGAAATATTTGAAGCAGAGAGAATGGCATGTGCAAAGGCTCTGCGGTGAAGCAAGCCTAGCGCATTTGAGAATGGCTGGAGACGAAAGAACGAAGAGTCAGGCCAGGCGCGGTGGCTCAAGCCTGTAATCCCAGCACTTTGGGAGACCGAGGCGGGTGGATCACGAGGTCAAGAGATCGAGACCATCCTGGTCAACATGGTGAAACCCCGTCTCTACTAAAACTACAAAAAATTAGCTGGGCATGGTGGCGCGTGCCTGTAATCCCAGCTACTCAGGAGGCTGGGGCAGGAGAATTGCCTGAACCCAGGAGGCGGAGGTTGCGGTGAGCCGAGATCGCGCCATTGCACTCCAGCCTGGGTAACAAGAGCGAAACTCCGTCTCCAAAAAAAAAAAAAAAAGAACGAAGAGTCAAAGAAATGAGGTCAAAGGGGGTGAGTTAAACAAGGAGTAATATACATATATAGTGGGATTGCTGCCTGTTTCTTCCAGACCTTTATGAACTAGAGAGAATTCTCACTGTAATTTGGATACTTGCATATGTAATTAAAAGTTAATAAAAAGGACCAAGTGTGTTTATGGAGCTGCAAAGAGCCCATCTAGACTTTTTCAGTGCATTGCTTTGAATTAATCTACATTTAAAAACAAAGTCAAATCTTAAAAACCATGTCAAATTTTGGTTAGAAGAAAGAACTGCATAATAGGAATTGGAAAAAAAAATTAGCCCATTAAGCTGGAATCCTTTGATGAACGTACATATTTTGAAATTGTCTTTGAGAAATAGGCTAAGCTTTAAGGAAAAAATTGGAAGGCAAATATTTAACTTATGTGTATTACATTATGAGTAAATTTCATAAAAGCCTTGCCGCCTAGTTTGTTTATAGATACTATCTCGCTTTAAGGCATTACCAATGTTTTTTTTTAAAAAAATGCATAAAAAGATTCCAGACATGGTGGCTCCGCTAGGGGGTATGTTTTCTGGGCAGCCCCCACCGGGCCACCCAGGCCAAGCTTCGCTTCTTCAGGCAGCTCCAGGCACTCCTAGACCTTCCAACAGTACTTTGGTGGACGAGTTGGAATCATCTTTTAAGGCTTGCTTTGCGTGTCTGGTGAGTCAAGACTATGTCAATGGCACCGATCAGGAAGAAATTCAAACTGGTGTTGATCAGTGTATCCAGATGTTTCTGGATATTGCAAGACAGACAGAGTGTTTTTTCTCCCAAAAAAGATTGCAGTTATCAGTCCAGAAGCCAGAGCAAGTTATCAAAGAGGATGTCTCAGAACTAAGGAATGAATTATAGCAGAAAGACACACTAGTCCAGAAGCACTTGACAAAGCTGAGGCATTGGCAGCAGGTGCTGGAGGACATCAATGACCAGCACAAAATGCCAGCTGACATCCCTCAGGGCTCCTTGACCTACCTGGAGCAGGCATCTGCCAACATCCCTGCACCTCTGAAGCCAACCTGAGCAAAGGGCAAAGGCAGTTGGACTGTGAGTGGGCTGGTGTGTGAAGTTGGCCACACATCTTTTCCTGTGGACTTAACATTTTGAAAGAATTCTTTGCCAGATAATGAGTTCATTATAGTTTTATGCTCCCATTGAAAATTTTTCCACTTTTTTTTTTTTTTTTTAGATGGAGTTTTGCTCTATCACCAGGCTGGAGTACAGTGGCACAATCATGGCTCACTGCAGCTTCTGCCTCCTAGGTTCAAGCAGTTCTTCCGCCTCAGCCTCCTGAGTAGATGGGACCACAGGCGCGTGCCACCACACCCAGCTAATTTTTGTATTTTTAGTAGAGACAAGGTTTCACCATGCCCAGGATGGTCTCGATCTCTTGACCTCGTGATCTGCCCGCCTCAGCCTCCCAAAGTGCTGGGATTACAGGCATGAGCCACCACTCCCAGCCCTTTTCCACTATTTTTATAAGCTGTTAATTTCTTGAGTACTTTATAAAGGGTCTGTAGCTTGGATAAACCAGGTAAATATTTTGTCTTTAGCAAAGTTTTGACTGTGAGTGTGATGACACAGATTATTTTTTATGGTGGTCTTGCTTGTTTTTAAATTTTGTATGACTTTTCATCGCTTTATGTGTGTTTCCCATGGTTTGATCTGAAGGAAAAAAGCATAATAGCCTGAGAATTAGGAAAAGGGAATTTTAGTTGTAGGCCTTAGGATAATTACCCCTCAGTGGTGATAGAAAAGTATATAAATTTACTGTTTTTAGACTTTGGACTACCTCAAGAAGAGGAATCTAATACAATATTTGTAATGTTTCCAGAGGTCTCAGAATGAGGATTTCTTTTTGTAAATAGGTCAGAATAGGATTGAACTATCTTGAGTTAGTGTAGTAATCTTACAGTAGGATCCTTAGGTTGATGCTAACTTCTATTTGGGGTATGTTTATATTTTATGTGGTGTTTGCTTTTTCTTTGATAAGGAGGGATGTAGTGGGAGCAGTGATATGCTAACATTTGTTACATTCTGCAGTAATGAATCCGTTTAATGAGGCAGACACTGTTTTCAGTAGCCTGACAGTGGGGGCATAGGTGAGCTATGAGGGGCTAAAGCTTGCTCTGATTGTCTATTTCTGTTTTGAGTTTTCTTTGCATGTATCATTTTTGTTTTCCATTTTGGGAGGGGAAACATTTTCCATTAAGGAAGGTTGTTGCCAGTGGATTTGACTCCAAGGGACTAGTGTCACGGTGGAGGTGGGGAGGGGATGCAGGGTGATCATTGGCTACTGAGCGTCCACAAAGAGCATGTGGCGCCTCTGTCTTTGGAAGGATGTGTTGCTCTCTTGTTAGTTTTGCAGGCAACCTTGGATTCCCTGTTGAGTTGCTGTTAAGAAATGGAGACCAGCGTTTTTTCTGGCTCTCGTTGGTTAGGTTTTCCGAGTTTTATAGTTGGTTATTAGAGCTTATTAAATCACATCTCTTTACCAAGAACAAATGCTTCACTATCTTCTGACTGGCAGTATTCCTGTGGCTCTGTGACTTGACTCATTTTATTTTCTTCAGCCTTTAAGGCCCCTTTCCACATGCACTGACATCCACTCGTGTACCTGGTCCCTGAAGCCTCCCACCACCTGTTCTGTTGCATCCCCAAGGCATGGGACTTTGATCGCTTCTGCTGCCCTTGCTAGGTTCTCCCTGGTGGGTTAGAGGTTTGTATCTGTCTCTCTGCCCCTTGAAATTGTAATTGTGGATTCTTATCTACCCTAATTCAATGATGCTAATGAGAATTAGACATTATTCCCCTTACATATATAGGGACCATATAATCTTTTTCTTTTTGTTGTGTGTGTATATGGTATCTGGCACATGGATCTGTGATTAACACCTTAACACCAACAAATCCCCTCAGTTAGGATGTATAGGTTAAACAAAACTTTGAAAAGCTCATATGCTATGACCTCAAGGTTGTTAACCTGGTCATCTCCTGGTAATTAGAAACTCTGAT